TCAACGAAGGGCGATCTGTAGAAACCCTAGGAGGGGGAGCCCTAATGCGAATGGGGGAAGATGAAGGTGTGGATTCAGAATCCCCAAGGTCTACACGATCGGGAGTAGACAAAGTACTCATAATGAAAGATTGAGGAAAAAGATGCGAAACTAACCTGACAAAGTGATAGAAGCGATGGAATGAAGGACGCAGAAGTGCAGCGAGGGCAAATGTAACTCTTGCAAAGTCTTGTGTGACGGATTAATAATGAAAGACCACGAACCGTTTCTGAAGCAAAGTAAAAACCGGTTTCAATTCCCTATTTAATAGGAGCCGTCACTCAATTAAAAATGGAATTTGGGGCAAAGTGTGGAGGGAAAAAAACTCCCTCCAATAAGAAGCGCACACGTCACCACTACCCATATCTACATTCCAAGGACATATAAGGCCCATCATGCTCAAGCCCAAATTGAGGGTATTTACAGCCCAAGACCATTGTTAGTTATCCTCCAACTTCCATCAAGGCCGAATCAAGAAGTCATCAGCCCAGCTTGTCGTCAGCCCAGCGTATGAGTATTTAACATCCGGCCTGTTACCCAAGCCCAGCCGGATCAAAATATATTCAGCCCAAGAATGCGCAAATCCTACCATTTGAAGGATTTACTGCAGAAGGAAAATTCGGATAGGAAGTTCTGTACAAGGCAATTTCTATGTATGGAAGATTCGACAATGGAAAGAACTCTATTAGAAACGAATGGTTATATAGAAAGAATTGGAGGGCAAGCAACGCGAGTCCTACCATAATTTTGCAATCTTTTGTATATAAATAGAGGCTAAGACCTCCAATAAAGGATCAAGCAATTCCACACTTCTCTATACATTGTTCTTATTTATTTTTATTGTTTTTGAGTGAGTTGTTTTATTTTTCTCAGTCATTATTGGTTGAGCGAAATTTTGCACCTACACCATGAAAAGAAAAATTTTCATTAAAAATTATTTTTCATTACCACTTAATTTTCTCATAAAATTTTTCAACAAAAATATACCGGAAAAAGTTTGATTTGCCAACAAAAATATACAGGAAAAGTTTGATTTGTTGAGGAGGGTTTTATCAACTTACAATACTTAATTTTCTTTTATGATAAATTTCATGCTATTCAAACCATAAAATGACAAATTCTAATAATTATATATATTTTTTTCATGCTAATCAAATATACGATGAAATAATTTTATTTTACTTTTTACTATTAATTTTTATCTAACTAAAAGAGTCTGTTAGTTTTTTTTTTTTTTTTTTTTTTTGACAATTAATTATCTCCCATAATTTGGGGAGACTTGAACAGTCCCATCTTTCATTCAGAAAGGAGGGAAAATATCACCGGGCAAGACTGGACACGTGTTGGTGGTGGTTGGGTAAAAAAAACCATGTCTTCTTGGAAATAAAACAATAAAGCATCAGATAGGTTTGGAAGAAATTTGGAAGGAAAGAGAAACTAAACAACATTTTTTTTTTTTTAAAAAGGTAAATAGGGTTGAGTTTAGTAACAAAAAACGTTTTGTGTTGTCAGCCTCTAAAAAGGCAAAACAAAAATAAAAAACATGTTTAATAATATATTTTTGTTTTTTTATAACAGAAAACGTTTTTCATTTTTTGTGAAGGAAGGAAGAAACATAAAAAAAAAAAAGAAAAAAAAAAAAGGTGTTTCTCATGTTTTCGATACTATTGAGCAAATATATTTTTACTATTATTATTACATACACACAGTTTATTTCAAATAAAATATATGTTATTCATGTTATATAGGTTACATATTAAATACTAATAAAAATAATTTTTTAATATACAATTATATTATATTATATATTAGTGTAAATTATTCTTTATTTAACAAAAATATATTTTTAAAACATAATATATTATATAATATTGTAAACTACTTTTTGGGACAAAAAAAATTATTTATTATTTATTTTATATAATATTAATAAATTATTATGCAACATATATAATATATGATTATACATACCATATCTATATTATATTATATTATAGTTATATAATTTAATATTTATTATAATATAATATATGTTAAATATATTATATATTATATAATAAATGTATAGAAGATGCATATGTATGTATAGGGGTTTTCAAAAAATTCGGTAAATCGAAAAATCGAACTAGACCGAACTGAATTGAGTGGTTTGGGCTAGTTGTATAGAGATTTGGTTTGGTCTTGGGCCCAAAATTATGGAATCGTAATTTTTCGATCCGGTCCTGGTTTAAGGTCCTGCTAAACCGGGCCGACTCGACCGAACCGTTACTATGTTATATTATATATATATATATATATATATATATATATATATATATATATATATATATATGTATATCATACCCTAAACTTAAATCAAGTAAAGTTCTCGCGGCTCACGTGACCCCAAAATTATCTTAACTTTTTATTTCTTTTGTTCTTTAAATTCCTTAAATTTCTTTTTAAAAAAGTCAAATTTCCCTTTTTGAATCATATCTCAATTTTCTTTATTTTCAAATATATCTCAATTTTCTTTCCTTTTTTCTTCTTAAATTTTTTCTTTTTGCGTGTTATATCAATGTTAGTTGGTTTATTTTATTTTATTTTTATTTTTAAACTTTGCCCCGAATTAAAATCCTAGTTCCGCCCTTGGTTGCCATGAAACTTTATATACCGGGAAAAATAAAAAATTTTGTTTTTAAAAATAAAATAAAAAGGAAACCTAACCAAACCAAACCGGTTTTTTGCGGTTTGGTTTGGTTTGTTTCCATGGGCATTATGATTCAGTTTGGTTTAAAAAATAGTGGAACCGTTATAAATGGTTTGGTCCCAAAAAACTCCCAATCTGGACCAAACCGGACTGTGTGCACCCCTATGTATGTACTTATATACATAAGTAGTGTGAGTAATTTTGTCCTAATATATCTTATTTTGTACTTATGTATTGGGTATTATTAGGATTTTTAAATTGAATATTATATTTTAGGGTAAAGTGCAAAAAACCTCCTGAATTATTGGCTTTTTGCAACTAACCCCCTGAATTAAAGATTGCCTCCAAAAATTATTAATTTGTTGCAATTAAGGACAAACCCATCACAAAAGACTATTTTACCATTTGTTATTAAATTTGTCATTTCTTATTAAATTATTTATTATTATATTTTCTCTTATTTAAATATTAATTATACCATTACCTTAATTTTATAATTAGTATCAATTGATTATAAAAATGGAAAAAAAAAAAAAATTGTAGCTATCATTTTCTAAAATGATTAACTTATTATAATAAAATTAATTATACTTACTTTAAAAAAATTTAGTATAAAAAAATATCTTATTTTTCAAACAAATTTCATGAAAAATTAATAAATTACGTAAATAAAAATATTTTATTTTTAATGCAATATATTCATGAAAATTAAGAAATTACTTAAATTGTTTCAAAATTTTCTATTTAAGATTTTTATTTAAATAATTAATTTTAAAAATTAAAGGCAAACTTATGCAAATTTATTGGAGAATATTTCATCAAATTATTATTAATTTTTTTCATAATTTATTTTAACAAGAAAAATATATCAAGTGTAATTCAATAAGAAAGGGTATTATGGTCATTTAATGAAAAATAGGTAAGACAATGGGGCATGAGCTCGAGCCTTAAAACTTAGGCTCGAGCTTTAGTACTTGGATTCTTCCAAACTTCACCATTTAAGCTCTCGGTTTGTTTTGAATGACCGGCAACGACTCTGTAAATTTTAATATCAGTCTTTTCATCATAAAGTCTTGGTTTTAACTGTTTCTTTGGGAAAATATTTATAAACACACAATAAATATAAATCAGTCTAACAACAGACAGAGTAGCACTTTAGGTCTTAACATACGTATATATTAGAGGCTCGAATATACAATATTCAGCGCTCATTACACCTCCAAACTTACATATTGCTAATCCATTAACAATACAGAACTAAAAAGCCGCTTTCGTGAGAATCATGATTGTATTTAACCTATGCAACAAGCCTTTAAACCCCTAGGTTACCCCTAATGGACGAGTTGTAGTCTCGTGAGGGTTTCTAGTGATGGTACTCACAAACATCTCAGATAGTGTCTTAATTGCATAATAAGCTCATTCAAGCCTGTTTTCAAATTATAATATCCCAGCAGTTCATCAATCAACCAAATACAGTAAGTATTGCCAATTATATTAATCAGAAAACTTTCAACTTCCAATTTCAATTAACAGCCATGGTCTCCATATGTCAGTTTAATTATTTATTCAACAATCTCAATCTCCAAAACCCTTTAAAAGTAAAACTTACAATTTTAAACATATGACTTACTATTCATACTTGTATTCATTTATACTACGATAATTTAGGGGATTTTGTTCACAAAACATAGTTTAGGGGATTATTTGCAAATTTAGACATAATTGAGGTTTTTTTTTTTTTTTTTTTTTTTTTTTTTTTTTTTTTGCACTTTATCCTATATTTTATTATCTAGTATTGGATACTTTTAATATTTGTGAAATAATTGAATTGTATTAATATTTTTGACTTTTTTTTGTACTAATGAAAAAAAATTAAAATTAAAATTAAATAATTAAAAAATGTTATGTAAATTTTTAACAAATATGTATTATTAAATACTGCTATTATTTTTTGCTTTTAAAATTGTGAGAACAACAGGTGGTTAATAAATGCCATTTTTACTTTTTATTGTCACTCTAGAAAACATATTTATGTTTCGGCTTAGGTTATAACTTGTACAAAGTAGTATTAATTTCCAATAACCGAAAAAATAAATATTTCCAATAAAAAGTTTACTTGGTACTCCTTTGGCATTACGGCACGAAATGAAAATCAAAATTTCTTTAATTCAAGAGAAAATTCAAACAGATTAAAATTGAATTAGGATATATTATAAAATGATGAAGAATGATAGACACGACGTCGTTGAAGATACTATGCTAAACAGCAAATGGTTTGTCTCTAGGGTTCTCTTTGGGGGGCAAAGCTAGGGCAGGGCTTATACGTTTCTCAAAATTATAGGGCTTCAGAGTCGCCGTCTCTCGGAATTCCTAAAATCTGGTGAACAATGTCGGATTTTTTGCCCAGAGAAGTGATGGGTGAGATCCTTGCAAGACTACCTGTGAAGACTGTTGTACAGATCAGGTGCGTTTGCAAATCATGGAATTCTCTAATCACTAGTGATAATTTCATCACCTTATATCTCAATCGAACTACCCATTTGAACAACACCAACAACACTCACCTACTTCTCGTTAGGCAATGCACTAAAAATCAAGACAAAGAGGAAGAGGAAGAGCATTACTCGCTACATTTTGATAACCAATCGTTTGATACATATCGTGTGAACCTCGAAAGTCCAACCCCAGTTTTTGAATCTTATTTCCGAATACTTGGTTCTTGTAATGGTTTGGTATGCCTCAGTGATGATTTATGCAGTTATACGGATCTTACCTTTCTGTGGAACCCCACTATTAGAAAATGGTTGGAGCTTCCAGAGCCCCGTGTTACCTTTCAATCGTATGGCCCGCATTGGCTTGCTCTTGGTTTTGGCTTCGATTGCAGGACTAATGATTATAAGGTAGTTAGAGTTGTCTTCCCCGAATTCGGGGAAGTCAGCTCTCATTGTGAGGTTGAGCTGTACTCGCTTAAACAAGGTTCTTGGAGAAGCATTAGTAGCACTACTCGTCCCCGATATCGAATCAATTATACTTCATCTGCCACACAGGCTTTTTTCAATGGGGCTGTCCATTGGATTGGAGGTGGTTATCGTGATTATCCTCCTTTGATCTTCTCATTCGATATGAGTACTGAGGAATTCCACGAGATGAAGTTGCCAACAAGTCTAGTGTGCGCAGGTGTCCTAGATTTGAATATTGCAGTGATTAAGGAGTCACTCTCTGTTTTCCAGTATCATAGAACAACAACTAGACAAGTGTCAATATGGGTGATGAAAGAATACCGCGTGTCAGAGTCTTGGGCCCAACTGTTCACTGTAGATTTGGATCGAGGTTACGGGAAGATAATTGGATTCAGGAGGAACGGTGAAGTTCTCTTGCCATCAAATGGGGATATGCTTTCAGTTGACCTACAGGCTCAACAAAGTACTTTTTGTGGAATCCGTGGTGTTGCGAAATCATTTTATGTTGGTAATTACACGGAGAGCTTAGTCTTGCTCAACAAAGGAATTGGATTGTTTGGGGATGCAAACACAGTCTCGTGATGCAGTTACTTCAAAGGATGGAGGAGTTGCAAGAACCAAGAAAATTTTGTTAAGTGATAAACAATAGGAAGAGCAAGCAAATACACAACCTTGCATTAAAATTCCTCTTTTGAATGCTAGTTCAATTACTCTGCTGGATAGCATGTATATCACAAGTAAGAGTAGTTGTGGAGATTAATAGCTGCAGTATTAATATTAATCCTTTTTGTTATCACTGCGTGAAACTTTTTTTGTTCACTATCTGTTTGCATGTGCTTCATTTGTCCTAGTTAGCTCTTTTTACTAATGTTATTTGTTTTACTTATCCAAAAAGGAAGGAAAACATATGGTTGTGAATCATGTTTAGCCTCCTAGCGAATGAATTCTATTATGGTGATAACAAGTCTTGTTTTTCTTTATCTTTGTGGGAGTATATATACTAATGATGATGGGTTTAACTACTATATGGATGAAGAGAATTAGGAGTCCAAAGGAATGGCATTTCATTCTTGGAGTTTCCTATTTTTCTCTTAGGCACGAACGACTAATCTAACCAGTGAAGAATGGTGATATTATTTTATTTTTTCTAAGATTTTTCCTCCCCAAGTTATAAAATGTGAAACACCAGTATTTCATGATCTATGTTTATATACAGTATTATTATTTTCTCATTTTAAAAGTTAACTTTTCTGTATGGTGAGGCTAAAAAAACTTGAGACACCTTATTTTTAGAGACTTTGCCTGGAATTGCCCCCGGAGCACTGTAACTAGATTTTTTTTTCCCAGGCCTAGGTCTCCAGTTTGCTCTTCTGCATCTATGCACCTTTATTGGTTTGAGCTTAATGGTATGCTTAAATTGCCCTTCTACTACATAGGTAGTACACATGAGAGTACCATTATCACAGTGATAACACAGCCCTATTATATGTTGTTTTCATCCACCTCATATCTCAATCGAACTATCCATTTGAATAGCACCAACAACACTCACCTACTTCTCGTTAGGCACTGCACTTTAAATGAAGAGGAAGAGGAAGAGCATTACTCCTTGCATTTTGATAACCCATTTGGTACATATCGTATGAATCTGGAAAGTCCAACCCCAGTTTTTGAATATTATTTCCGGATACTTGGTTCTTGTAATGGTCTGGTATGCCTCAGTGATGATTTATACAGTTATACGAATCTGAACTTTCTGTGGAACCCCACTATTAGAAAATGGGTGGAGCTTCTAGAGCCCCGTGTTACCTTTGAATCGTATGGCCCGCATTGGCTTGCTCTTGGTTATGGCTTCGATTGCAGGACTAATGATTATAAGTTGTTTAGAATTGTGTTCCCCGAATATGAAGGCTCTTCTACCTCTCGTTATGAGGTTGAGCTGTACGCGCTTAAAGAAGGTTCTTGGAGAAGCATTAGTAGCCCTACTCGTACCAGATATCATATCTGTTATCCTTCATTTGTGGCACAGGCTTTTGTCAATGGCGCTGTCCATTGGATTGGAGGTGGTTTTCGTGATTATCCTACTTTGATCTTCTCATTCGATATGAGTACTGAGGAATTCCACGAGATAGAGTTGCCAACAAGTCAACAAGGTGCACGGGGTGCTAAATTTGTCTATTGCAGTGATTATGGGATTCACTCTCTGTTTTCCAGTATCATTCAACAACAACTAGACAAGTGTCAATATGGCTGATGAAAGAATACAGAGTGGAACAGTCTTGGACCAAACTGTTCACTTTAGATTTGGATGGAGGTTTTGGGAAGATATTGGATTCAGGAGGAACGGTGAACTTGATTTTCCATCAAAAGGGGATACGGTGTCATCAAATGGGGATATGCTTTCAGTTAACCTACAGGCTCAATAAAGTATTTTTTGTGGGATATGTGGTGTTGCAAAATCATTTAATGTTGGTAATTACACGGAGAGCTCAGTCTTGCTCAACAAAGGAATTGGAGTGTTTGGAGTTGCAAACAGTCTTGTGATGCAGTTACTTCAAGGAGAGCTTTTATTGTTCTTAAGGGAAAGGATGGAGTTGAAAGAACCAAGAAAATCTTGTTAAGTGAAAAACAATAGGAAGAGCAAGCAAATATATGTTTCCAGGTTTTTAGCTTACATGAATGCCAATACACAACCTTTGCATTAAAATACCTTTGAATGCTAGTTCAATTACTCTGCTGGATAGGATGTAAATCACAAGTAAAGAGTATATGCGGAGATTAATAGCTGCAGTATTAATATTAATCCTTTTTGTTATCACCTTTTATGTTTGTGCTTCTTTTGTCCTAGTTAGCTCTTTCTACTAACGTGATTATGTATTTACTTTGTCTTACCTTCTTTTTAACAACTACTTGTCTTACATTTTACACTTGTGGTTCATTATTTAACTCAATCGTTGACGTACCCTTTTTTTCTCTTCTTCAATGTAACTTCTTTTATGATAGAACTGGTTCCCATCTAAGGCAAGAGTGAGCTATGTCGTTTGGCAAATGGCTTTTAAATGCTAGTTAAAGATTTATATTTTTCTTACTTCTTGGTTCTTTCCTTTTAAATCCTCTAAACGCTATTTGATTACACTGTGGATAACTTTGTTTGAAAATATAGCTTGTTTCTTTCAAGTGGTTGGGTTCAAGCGAAACCCTAAGAATTATGTAACAATGACACGTCAGAAAATTGTAGATAGTTTTTAATGGATTTGCTTAGATCTATTGAGGTTTGATTCCTCTACTGTACTGTGTTTCTCTTGAGTTGTTCCAATCTTTTGGCTTTTTTCATTTATTTGTTTTACTTATCAAAAAAAGGGAGGACAGCAAATGGTTGCAAATGATGTTTTAGCCTCCTAGTGTATTCTCTTATGGGTTATATTACAAGCCTTGTTTATCTTTATCTTTGTGGTCAGTTTTCTTTGACAAACTGTGGAAGAAAAGAAAATGATAGAAGAATGAGCAGTGTGGATGGGTATGATATCTCCTCTCCAAAGGGGGAGATTGAGAGTCGAGCCCTGCTATGGGCAATGCTTGAACTTACGGAAAAAATAAATAAATAGAAGAATTGGAGCATATATAATTATGATGATGGGAGCATATGGATGAAGAGTCCAAAGGAATAGCTTTTCATTCTTGGAGTTACCCATTTTTCAGTAGTAATTTATTTTACCTTCTTTTTAATTCACAAGTTAAAGCAAACTTACACAGCCCCTCAACATGCTCTTTGTGGGTTTTGAGAAGAGAGATCATTACCAGCTTAATTTCATTTTTATATTGTTGATTGGGATTTGGGAATGGCTAACTTGGTTGGACTGAGAAAAGCAGAAGAAAATGACGAAAACAAGAATGGAAGAAAAAGTAGCCTCTGATTTGTTTTGATTTTTACTTGGCAGACAATCTTGACGACTCCTGCGAAAGAAAAAGAAAGAGAGAAGTGGACTACTATATAAGTTTTAAATTAAATATTATCCTAAATTATACAAGTTTTAAATTATAATTATATCCCCTATATATTATAATATTATAAATATTATTAGATATAATGATATAAATAATTAAAACTTTTTTATTTTTATTTTTTTGTATTTATTATTATCATCTAACAGAATAAAAAAAGAAAAGAAAAACATGGCCTCTTTCGTACTAATGTCTTAACTTGGTTGGACCGAGAAAAGCAGAAGAAAAGGATAACAAGACTGGAAGAAAAGGTGGTAGCCTCTGATTTGTTTTTATTTTTACTTGGCAGTCAATCTTGGCTCCTTCTAGATGGTTTGGAATTAAGAGGAAATGGTGGATCCCCATAACCTGCTTCGCTGTGAGAAATTTTAACAGTGGGATTGCCACGACTTTGCTGAGTTGCATATGACACCTGTAACAGTAAAAACATTTTGAGTATAAAAAAAAAGTAAAATGTTACCCTTATGCTACTAACACATCCTTTCTCCTCTATAAATTCTTGTTCTTTCAAAAACGGGACGAAAGAAAAAAAACAGAGAAGTGGACTACTATATAAGTTTTAAATTAAATATTATCTTAAATTATACGAGTTTTAAATTATAATTATATCCCCTGTATATTATAATATTATAAATATTATTAGATATAATGATATAAATAATTAAAACTTTTTTATTTTTATTTTTATTTTTTTGTATTTATTATTATCATCTAACAGAACAAAAAAAGAAAAGAAAAACATGGCCTCTTTCGTACTAATATCTTATCTATTCCTTCTTTTCTCTCTCTTTTATCAAACTTTTTAAAAATACAATCTCTTTCGTACGCTTGACAGTTGGCAATTGACATTCTCTCCATTGTTGCGTGCCTCATCATCTCTCCTTGATCTCAACTAGCCAGCCGTCCCTCCTATGATTTATTTTATTTTTAGTTTTGGTGTTGAAAAAAATTATTCTCCAACTAACCACATGAACTAATACTAAAATTAAAAAAAACGGAATTATGGACGAGCAGTATCCTTCAGTAGTGTGTATATTATAAATATGGAGGTGCATGTGAGAAGGTGGTTATAGTTAAGCAAAGATGGAAATTGGGATAATTGTTCTTCTCGTTGTGGTGGTCGCCGCCATCATATGGTGGGCATGGAGGGTATTGAATTGGGTGTGGTTGAGGCCAAGGAAGCTAGAGAAGTGTCTGAGACAGCAAGGTCTCACTGGCAACTCCTACAGGGTATTGCTTGGAGACCTGAAAGAGAGGTCACAGATGATCAAACAAGCAAATTCCAAGCCCATCAATCTCTCCCATGATATCGTCCACCGTGTCATGCCCTACATCCATAAATGCATCCACAACTATGGTGCTCGCTACTACTATATATTATGTCTCATATCAATCATCTCATTAATTTCTACAATCATATATACTACTACTACTACTGTCTACTATGACCAAAGAAATTGATTTTCTTTAATTTGCAGGTAAGAATTCCTTTATATGGCTTGGACCAAAACCATTGGTGCTCATCAGGGATCCTGAACTCTGGAGGGAAATATTATCTAAGAATTATCACTTTCAGAAGCCCCAAGCAAATCCACTGACCAACTTGCTAGCGGCTGGACTGGCGACCTTTGAGACTGAGAAATGGTCCAAACACAGAAAAATTATCAATCCTGCTTTCCATCTAGAGAAGCTCAAGGTACTTCATCTTTCTCTTGCCCTTTTATGCCTCATTTAATTAATTAATTAATTAATAGATGCTAGCAAGAGTCACATACTTTATTTCTTAATGCAATATAAATATTGTACACTAACTGTCATAGGGTTTTTCTCTTCACTGTTTCATATAGCATATGCTTCCGGCCTTTGATTTAAGTTGTAGCGAGATGCTGAGCAAATGGGAAAAGATGGTTTCAGAGAAGGAGTCATGTGAGTTGGATGTGTGGCCTTATCTACAAACGTTATCTAGCGATGTCATTTCACGTACTGCATTTGGTAGTAGCTATGAAGAAGGCACAAGGATATTTGAACTTCAAAGGGAACAAGCTGAACTTGTACTTCAGGTTTCACAGTCAATTTATATCCCAGGATGGAGGTAAAACAATATTATTACTTCAACTTTCTTTATACAATTAATTAGTTTTTACGAGAAAATTTAGTGCTGAAAATAGTTTAGCAAGAAATTATTTTACCATGGCAAGTATAGCTTAGTTCCATATTACCAGAACAATTTTGTTATGAGACAGAAAAACAATGAAAGCAAGAAAAGGAAATATTGAAAGTTCATAGGCAGGTTGAATGCTTTCTGAAAACCCTTTTTTTGAAAATCGAATAAAAAAATACTGAGTCTCAGAAAGCACTATTTTCTGTTCTTGAAGACTTTGTACTTTTCACTGTGCTTGACAACTATTTTCGTAGAAGAGAACCAAACAAGACAAATTTTTATACTATTGAAAAGTTAAGAATAAAAAGATTAGAATTAAAATTCAACTTCTACTTAACCGGTAGTCTTTTTTATTTTATTTTAGAGCTATAACTAATTGTGCATAATCAGCCAAAATTATAATAGAGGAACTGCCGGAAATTTTTTAGTTTTATTACTTAATGGAGTTATCAAGAGCAACCATTCTTTTCGGTTTTTCTTTCCTACAAAAATGATACATACATAAGTTATGCTGTAATTACAAAATTCAGTTAGTATTCTAAACACCTTTTACAAGAGAAATGAAGAAAAGTTATCAGAATTTGAAAGAACCAAATAAAATAAATGAGTTAATTAAGTAGCTGCTAATTAATCTTCCCATATTCCTTTTTCTTTTTTCTTTTTTCTTTTTTTTCTTTTGTGTCTTGATATTTGCATGTAGGTTTTTGCCAACTAAGAGGAACAAAAGGATGAAGGAAATCAACAAAGAAGTGCATGCTTCATTAAGGGTTATTATTGAAAAAAGATTGAAGGCAATGAAGGCTGGAGAAGCCAGTAATGTTGACTTATTGAGTATATTACTGGAATCAAATTTCAAAGAAACTCAACGACATGGAGACAAGAAGAATGTTGGAATGAGTACTGAAGAGGTCGTTGAAGAGTGCAAGCTTTTCTACTTTGCTGGGCAAGAGACCACCTCTGCTTTGCTTGTTTGGACAATGGTTTTATTGAGTAGGCATTCAAATTGGCAAAAGCGTGCTAGAGAAGAGGTTTTGCAAGTCTTTGGGAATAACAAGCCAGATCTTGATGGGTTGAATCACCTGAAAATTGTAAGTGTATTTTTTGTTTTTTTTTCACCAATTGGCATATATAATCTTTATACACTATTATAATTTTTTAACTTTCCAAACTACTATTTTACTTTTGAAGTTCATCTTGCACATTATTAGGCTTTGTGGTAGGGGGAAGGTTAATTAATTGAAAGTCTTCACAAAACTGTAGGCTTTTACTGGTATTTCCTTATTTTTTAGATAAAGACAATATATATATAACTCATCTTATTATCACTCCTAAATGTATACCAGCTGAAAACCGAATACGTACAAGAAATGACAGAGTATATTATTCTTATTATCAAAACTGATTAAAATTTTTTATTATGGTGTCGTCATCATTATCCTTGCCTTAGTCCCATATGAATGGTGTCAGTTTCAAAAGATTATAGATCATGAGAACTTAAGGAAAAGTATAATATATTGTATTTCATTATAATATTATCCCTTTTGATTTATTTTTTAGCTCTTCGAACCAACATAAAATCAATCATTTTATCTACAACTATTGACAACTTCTTTTTACAGGTAACTATGATTTTGTATGAGGTTCTAAGGTTATACCCACCTGCAGCTGCAATGACTCGAACTATTCATGAGGACACAAAGTTAGGAGAAATATCGTTTCCAGCTGGAGTGCACCTTTCATTACCCATAATTCAAATTCATCATGACCATGAATTATGGGGTGATGATGCAGAGGAGTTCAAACCAGAGAGATTTGCTGAAGGAGTGTCAAAGGTGACAAAGGGCCAAGTCTCGTTTTTTCCATTCGGCTGGGGACCCCGGATATGCATTGGACAAAACTTTGCCATGTTGGAAGCGAAAATGGCATTGGCTATGATTCTACAACGTTTCTCCTTCGAGCTTTCACCATCTTATGCGCATGCTCCTTACATTGTCATAATACTTCAACCTCAGTACGGTGCTCACTTGATTTTACACAAAGTCTAGTATTGAAAGCCATCGCTCATAAATAGCAAGGACGTACATTTCTAGCTGTGGATTTTCATGTCATGTAAAATGAGAATAAAATTTTTGTACGAACCATTTTGAACCTAACATTTCCACTCTGAGCAACGACGCTTTTATACATTATAATTTGATCTTGTTACATTCTATTCTAGTGGCTTGGGGGTGAGTTTAATTTGACTCTGATATTATTGAATTAAGAGGAAATAGTGGATCCCCACAACAGCTCAGCTCTCTGTTCTATTCTCTAGACATTTGTTGTTACTTTCTTCTATTTGTATTTTCATCCCTACTGATAGAGGCGGCTTGTCAATTGGTATGCTCTCATCCCATCGTTGCGTGCCTTATCATCTCTTTTTCATCTCTACCTTTACATTATATATGTGTGTAAGTCTGTGTGTATATATATATAAGTTCATTATCACGCTCAAACACCACTAGATCCCAAATAAATGTATGCAGTTGGGAGTTCCAAAAACGACAAAATTGGCAGTATCCCTTTGTGTATATATGGAGTTACGCCCATGTAAGAAGGTGTTGTGCAAAAATGGGAATTGGGATACTTGTTCCTTGCTGCTGTGTTCTTCTTGTTGTTGTAGTAGTAGAAATATGGAAGGTATTGAATTGGGTATGGTTGAGGCCAAGGAAGCTAGAGAAGTGCCTAAGGCTGCAAGGTCTCACTGGCAACTCCTACATGTTTTTGTTTGGAGACCTGAAAGAGATGTCACAGATGATTAAAGAAGCTAAGTCCAAGCCCATCAATCTCTCCCATGATATCGTCCACCGTGCCACCCCCTTCATCCATACATGCATCTACAACTATGATACTGTACTATAAATTATGTCTTTGTGTAATATATATTTAGAGACATGCACCATTTGTGTTTTTCTAATTTGGTTTCTTTTTGGAACTTTGATACTACTAGATTAATTTATGAAAGAGAACATGCACTTAGAAAGCAGTGATAGGAAATGATGGGAGATTTGTGACAAAAAGAAATCAACATTTTTTATGGATGGATTTTCTGATTTTCCTTTCTGTGTCCTTTTCTTATCCTTTCCCCTCTTCCTTTCTTCTCTTCTATTTATTTATTTTCCGGATTCATGTTTTATGTCCTAGACTCATGCATCTCTTTTCCTTTTTTCCTACTTCTTTTATAGTCCTTTCCCAAATAAAGCACAAGATACCACGGAAACTGTTTTTTTCTTTTTCTTTTTCTTTTCCTTTCCTATTCACCCACAAATCCTCAAACCTTATAGAACCAAAAATGATTGGAGCATGAACAATAAGGATTATCAAGGAGATGATGGTTTCATAACAGGGTTCGGTTATTCTTAGAAATGATTTAATTTGAAAATCAAACAATATATATATATATATATATATATATATATATATATATATATATATATATTAAGGGGTCATAGTAAAGCTAGCAAAAACAGAGCATATTATGAAATAGCTATATTACACAAAACAAGATGAATGTCATAATTTATATATATATATATATATAAATTCACTTGCAGGTAAGAATTCGTTTATATGGTTTGGACCGAAACCTATGGTGCTCATCAGAGATTCTGAACTTATAAGAGAAATATTATCTAAGAATTATCACTTTCAGAAGCCCCGTGGAAATCCACTGTCCAAGTTGCTAGCAACTGGACTCGTAAGCTATGAATGTGAGAAATGGTCCAAACACAGAAAAATTATCAATCCTGCTTTCCATCTAGAGAAGCTCAAGGTATGTCATCCATCTCTTGCCTTATGCCATTTAATAGATGCAAGACTCAGGCTTAATTTTTAAAGTTCAATTGGTTCTGGGCTGTGTTTCATTGGAGCTTAGATAACCTATATAATTCATAAATTTATTTCCCATTTGAGTAACAAATAATTTCAGTCCAAAAGTAACACTTCTTAAAGAAAAGTTCCAATTACATCTATTGATTTATTGGACAGACATTAATTTTCCCCCATTCATAAAATCCAATAGTAAGGTTGAGAATGGATTAATCGAAACAGCTTTCCATTTGAATTTATTTGTGTTAGTACTAATTTTTCTGCCTGCAGAAACTCCTAGTCAAGTTTCATTTTTTATTATGAAATGAGAAGGTGTTACCTTTTGGTATTCTATGAAAAGTTGCTACCTTTTGGTCCTCTTATTTTACAACATCCACGAACTTTTTCAGCTGGGTTCCTATATATATATATATATATATATATATAATACACTTTCATCTTGAAATGGAGTGGAAACATAAGCACTTAAACTATCTTCTTCAGAAAGGTGGTTGTAAGAATAAACTCGCAACTTTGTTTCCTCTGGGGACAAATCATAACTTTTTCAGCTGGGTTCCTATATATATATATATAATACATTTTCATCTTGAAATGGAGTGGAAACATAAGCACTCAAACTATCTTCTTCAGAAAGGTGGTTGTAAGAATAAACTTGTAACTTTGTTTCCTCTGGGGACAAATCATGAAATTTCTTTGCTTAGAGCAAAGTCAATATAATGGTTGCCCTATTAGCATCCTGTAACAGCCATAACAGTCCATACCAGTGCAATAATGGACAAAATGTTTTACATGTTACAACTAATTTAATCTATTTTATTGATGAATATATTATTCGCCAAGATGAGAATGACTTCTAAGTGCCCTATATATATATATATATATATATATATCTGGCCTAAAAAACAGAAGCACCAGATTAGGAATTAGTTTATGAGGTCATTTGAGTTGGATGTGGGGCCATGTCTTCAAATGCTGTCTAGCGATGCCATTTCACGTATTTCATTTGTTAGTTGTAACGTTTCGATTTTTTGCATTTTTCTTTTTTCTGAAATTTTGTCGCCGCAAGGACATTTTTGTCTTTTCATGTTTAGTGTACGGGATTGTGGTGGGGTCCATGTGTATTTTAATTTATATTATTATGTGGTGTTTCCTTAGCGGTGCATGTATTTTAATGTGTAGTGCAAATTGAAATGAAAAGAAAAAGGGAAAAGAAAAGAAATTGATGGGACCCACCATTCACCACAAAGTGGTCTAGGGACCACATTCTCATTCCTCTCTCCTGTAGCTTTCTTCTCTATCTCATTTCCATTTCTTTCTTCCTTCCATTTGAGAAGCAAACTTTGGATCTTGGTAACTTCTTCAATTCTTGGAGTTTTTAAGAGCCGTTTGAGGCAAAACGGAGAGTACGACGAGTTCTACGCGTGAATACCATCAATTTCAGTTTTGGTGCTTCCCATGGATTTCGAAATTCTTGATCATTTTAAGGGTTTTGTGCAATCTTGAGGTAGAGGCTTCATAATTCACATTATTCATGCGCCTTTGTGAATTAATTTACTTGAATTGTGTTATAACATGCTTAGTTGTGTTAATTGTAGCCTAAAAATGTCTTGAATGTTTATATGTGAATATGTGAAGACTTGTTTTGATTGTACTGTTTGAAAAACATGCTTATATTGTGAGTTATGCCTATTGTATTGTTCACATGCTATGAATGGTGTATGAAAGCATGCCCTATTGTATTTTGTAATAATCCAATTATGGTTTAAATATTAGAAGCATGAGAACATGCTTACTTGTGTTGTGTTGAATTCCTCATTTTCATAGTATTGAGATCATGAGACATGCATGTACACCATTGGGTTCTATGAAGGGAATAAATCGTTTTTGAAATGAAAATGGGGAGTTTTGGGAAAGAAAGTTTGATGAAAGTGTTTTGGAAAACCTGGTCGTCACGGGGATACCAAAGGGCCGGAGGATAATATAGCCTAGAGGGGACTAGGGAGTCGCCCTAGCGTGGTTGAGCTAACTGGGCCCCATAATGACGCCGCGGGGGTACCAAGGGTCAGGGACACTAGCCAATCCTTCTCTCGTGTCACTGCGGGGTCACCAAAGGGCGGGCTGTATTAACAGTTTGAAAGTGATGATTGAATTGTGAAAATGGGGAGCGACATTGGCATGCATTGCATCTCCATTGCATCCTAGTAATTGTGTTGAGATTGATAACCATGTTGTATTCTCCCCTATGTTGTATGACCCCAACTCCTATTGGCCTATTCTTTGTTTTGGATTCACGGGGTCTCTTGAGGTGCGTCTTAGGCGTCACCTATTGAGCAAATTGCTCATCCCATTATATTATTAATTTTTCAAGTCGTGGCAAGGGAATGGCGGATGAAAATCCTCCGCAAGCTTGAAAGTTGTTAGAAGATGATTTTTTTGATATTTTGTATTTGGCCATTTCATGTGTAATTGTAGTTTTGGGAATGTAAATAAGTTTGTATTCATGGCCATCGAGAAAATGTAATTAACTTTTAATTACACTAAATCCTTTAGTATATTTTGGTGACGTGTGGTGAATTACGTTAATAACGTTGTTGTTGTTATTGAATTTATTGTTGAAATGTATTTAAAATTACATGTAAGTGTAGTGGCGTGGGTGTTTGAATTATCAAAAGTTGGTGTACGTGGGTTACACAGGACAGTGGGAAGTGGAAGTGAAGATTTCCCAGAACCGGTCGACGTATGGCTTCCCAAACGTCGACCGGTATCTTCACAGTGGGTCATTGTTGCCTACGTTCCAAACCAGTCGACGTATGGCATCCCATACGTCGACCGGTATCATGTCCCAAACTAGTCGACATATCGCTTCCCATACGTCGACCGGTATCTCGACAGTGGGTTTTCCTACTGTTCATAACCCAAACCAGTCGACGTATTGTGTGGAGACGTCGACCGGTTTATGTCACTTAAGTAATATATGTTTAGTTTTTCTAAAATTACACTTTGGCACCAAGTGAAATTACACGTAATTATTTTATGACCCACTAAAATGCCATAATTATATTTTTAACCCCGAAAGGACTATATTGCCCAGAACCTTATTTTAATTGTTATGTGATACAAGTAAATGACTGTTATACCCTTGAGTCTCAATTTATGGATTTATGGCAAATCACCAATTTGCCCTTTTTGGACCTTGTTATTTAATTTTAACGTGAAATGACCGTATTATCTTCGGATGTTTTTGGGTCGGGTTAGGACCCGTTTAATGATCTGGATCCATGAGGAGCTGGGTCGTTACAGAATGGGATCAGAGCTTTGGTTTGAAAACCTATAGGACG